AACCCTAAAACTCTTTTGCAACTGGCTGGCAACGTCACGCCAGGACAGCTCGTTCCAGGCAACCCTAAAACCCTAAAACCCTTTTTTTGAACCCAGACTCTGCCAATCAGCTGGGAAGCAGCACTTCCAGATCATTGCATCTGGGAAGTAGCGCCGCCAAACTCAAACCTAAAACCCTGATCACGAAAGTCCTGCAAAGTCTATCGCGTACTGATGATCATCCGCACTGAGAACTGAGAATGTGGTAACACATTGATGCTCCTGCCATACTGTTCGAATCCAGCATTCCAGTTGATGTAAATTTGCGTCCAAGAATGTAGGATGCACCACAAAATCCAGTCCCCAGACATGCTCCGAAGTCATGCGAACGAATCCCACCCCCCTCACGAAGTCATCATCAAAAGCAATCAAGCTGGGGCCCTCAATCTCATGCAGCCACACTAGCCACCACTGATCAGCAGCCCAACACACTGCAACAGTCTGCTTCCAACTGACACTTGCCTGAAATGCCACTCGCAAGCTTGGCCACAGGAAGTCATGCTCATACTGCAGATCCATCTTATACTGAGATTCCAGGCGATTCCAACCCGCAAACCAAGCATCACGATCAGAAGCAAGACCCTGAAGTTGTTGCACAGAAGGCTGGTTGACGTCAGGTTCAAGCCACTGTAAGAGATGCAGTTGTTTGACAAGCCAAGTGTAAAGACTGTTCCAAGGAGCTGGAATCGCCTGCTTAATAGATCCAGGTTGGCTGGCAATAATGATCGCAAGTGGGAGGCTACTGACGGGCTTGCGCAGCAAATGTCCTGCATATTTCCATCTCCGGTGCATCAGGAGAAGGAGCCATCTGAATTTACTGTTCAATTGCAAGCAGGTAGAGACAAAGCGTCGTCTCAGTCTATGTAAGCAAACAGCATGGTTCTCTTTCATACTGCCGGGGATGTAAAGCTGCATTGCCAGGCACATCATGGTGCACTGCAAGCTGTCAAGCTTCTGTGTCCACTGGAGCAGCGGCTCAATCATGATGCAAAACCAAGAAAACTTTGAGAAGACATATCTATTGATGAGCACAAAAGCATCCAACGGCACTGATGTAATACCGAAGTTAGCTCATCCCACCCTGCATGCGCCAGTTTGCCAGCAGCTTGCAGGACCCACTCTGACACAGTCACAGCAGGCTGATACGGCTTGAATGGTTTCCTAAGGTAGGTCCCTTCATGTCTCCATTTGCACATACAGATAGGGTGATCAGGTTGAGCAGCTGCAAACAGCTCAGCTTCAGACCACATCCGATGAGGCAACACCAGAACAGTCTTATCAAAGTTGATACTCAACCCGAGGGACTGAAACGAGGTAACCAAGTCAGAGAAGCAAGACACAAGCTCAGACCATGATTGTATGTTTAGGATAATGTCATCAACATATGCCCAGCCATACAAGGGTGCTCCATGGGGAAAACAATGCTGAAAGTGTACACCTTGATGCTCCCACTGCTGAAACAGATTCTGCAAGGCACGACCAACAATGAGACCAAATATCCCAGCCCTCGGAGGCGCACCTTGTTGCACCCCTGTTGTAGCATTGACAATCCAGGAGTCACTGCCCCACGAGAAGTGCAAGTCGCACTGCAAAAGTCTCCAGAGCAGGGCCGCCTCATGCTGAAGCCCAGGTGGAGTGTGGTGCAGCAGCAAGCTCAAAACAGACAGGCGGCTCAGGTTGTCGAAAGCTTGTCGCAGGTCTAAGAGCACCCAAGCACTTGGTGTGGCAGTCTTGTATTCCTTATAGAGAAGTGTTTGTCCTAACCAAAGGCAATCAATGACTTGACAGCCTGAGAGGGCACCAAGTTGGCAAGGCGGCTTCTCCCAGGCGTCAATGAGCCGCTTGTACGCCAGCCCGCTGACAAGCTTGTGCATGGACTCCAGTAAGCAAAGCGGCCTATATTGTTTGGGCACAGTCAGGATCAACTCCTTAGGAACAAGCCTGCAGGTAACTCTCTGGAATGATTTGGTCCCGTAACAAATGATTGCAATGCTCAGTCAGGAAGTCCATGCCCAATTCAGAGAAGGAAAGCGCCCGAAGGAGCTCAGCACTGACACCCAACATCCCACTAGTCTTGCGAAGATGGATCTTCTCATGGATGTACTCTCTGATCTCATCGCGCTGGAAACAGAAAAGAGGGCTGCCTGAAGTAGAACGGAAAAGTTCATCTTGCATGCTGTGGAGTAGACGAGCATCCTCGCAGGACAAGGGGGTACCGAAAACCGTTTGGGTGTGCTCCCGAACTGCCTGAGCAGCAGCACTCTGTCCACCGCTCAGCCTGATCAGCTTTGAAGTGGTGGCAGGTTTATGCAGTCGTGTACGAAGATATCGAATAGCCTCCCCATTACCTTTTCCGGCTGAGTCCTCTAAGTTCTGCCACCACTGTCGTTTTGCAGCGGTGCGGGTGACCAGGATGGCCTTGACCAACCAAGCACGCTCATCAGGACAAGTGGCCTCCCTGCGTTGTTTGCAGAGGTCTTTAACATAGGGAGGGTCAACATATCTGAGGCTCCTCCTGTGTGAGCATGCTCTGTTTGCCAAGTTCCTGAGCACACGAAGCTGGTCGTGAATGTCGATGTCGCACCTGGCGTCCAGAGCCTGCTAAGATGAGTCTCAAGCTCAGGGATCGTGGATTGAACGGTCCAGCGATGACATTTACTCCGTCTATGGGATGAGGAAGACTTCTTGGGGGTATTGTGAAAGTCAGTCACAAGAAAACTTGCACTGACAAGCGCGTGATCTGACCCTATTTCGTTCATTGCCGAGGTGTTGCATGTAGTTTGCACGGACTCAGCAGGCAAACGAAGGAGAGGGCAGTCGCGATAGAAAAGGAAGTCGTAGCATCTACTTGTACCAAATCTGTACCAGGTGTCAAGCGGAGGTACAACAACATTGAAACCATGGTAAATCATAAGTGCTGAAAGTTGATGATGCCTGTCTGGGTATTCCAGTCGCCAGCAATGAGGACCAAACTGTACTTCTTGGCTCTAACCAGTGCATGCTCAAGCTCCAGCAAAGCACTCTGAAACACACTGTCAGGATCATTCTTGTGAAGAAAATGCACCCCAATAAGAACAATCTCACGCTGTAGAGGCTTATGTTTAAAACACAGCTGGACAATCCGCTTCCCACTGCAACCCCAACAAAGAGAATCGCATATATCCTTGTCGAGAAGCATCACTTGGCTGAGGTGCGATTCAAGCCCAGTCGCTGCAACAACGTGACAATGCTGAAGCTCAGAATCTTCGCAAACAAGGATCTCCTTAAGAGAGCCTCCTGGCAAACTCTGTGTGAATTCATGACGCTCGACGCCTCCGACTTCCTGAAGAGCAACAATGTCCACAGTCTCAAGCTTAGGAACCTCTAACCATTCATCTAATACATCCAAGGTTTTCCCTCGTACATTCCACGTCTGCACTTGCAAGATAGAGGAACCCTGGCCATCAACATTGGACGCAGTCGCATTCGATCAGTCAGAGAGCAGAGCAACCTCAAGGTCGGGGGCATTCATGCGAGTCATATTGCTAAGAGCTGTCAAGTTGTAGTAGCACTTCTGATCCCAAGCACGATCCCTCGCATCCAGCCGGATGCAAATCTCGATCGACTTCTCCTCAGGCTGCGCCAGGAGTCCGCGCTCACTCAAAGCCAACATGCGCCTGTCGCTCAGCCAGACTAGCCCTTGATACCAGTCCACCTCCACCTGATCTGAATCAGCCTGCATGATGCAAACTGAGAAGACGGTGAAGACCAACACTCAAAGCCTTGTTGCGCATCCGAATAGAGAGTGGCTTGTTGGGGCTGATCCACAGATACTCGCCGGAGGAGAGTCTGCACTTCTTGTTAATCTCCGGTAGGAGCTTGAAGAAACGATCACGGGAGGCTTGAACATCCAGATGGCGGAGATAGCAATGAGCAACTCGCCCTCGCTTGCCATACACTGCTGTTCTGGTCACGTCTGGCACAGGAAACTGCTTCAAGAAGTCACTAAGCTCCGCCTCAATGACCTGCCTTTTGGTGTCTGCAGCCCACCCTCCAAGAATCAGATGCCCAAAGTCAGTTTCATCACCAACCACCGAGGCAGTAGAGACAGTGGAGACCGAGTTGAGATTAGCAGGAGGGGGCACTCGCTTGAAATTGGCCCATGGATCTACGGGATTTTCTTGCGCGGTCGGCTGCTTCTGCAGTCCCTCAAGCGTCTTCTGCATCACCTGCAACTGCTCCTCCATGGCCTTGACCTTGACGGCATCATCCACCGACTTCTGTTCCAGCATAGCGAGCCTTGTACCGAACTCTTCGGTCGCATGTTCGATGCGAGAGAATCTGCTCATGATTCCAGCATTCATGGCCACTACCCATGCAGGGGCTAACTCCTCGCCCTCTCCCAACATCTTGTTCAGATCGTCGTCAGCAGTGGCGGGACGCTTAGCGCCCCGGCTGGGCCAGGGCACTGTCGGCACCAAATCTTGTGAATCCATGAACCCTGGAGCAGAAGGAAGTCTAAGGCACACCTGAACAGAACTCGGGCCCAAACCTTGAGCCGTAGCCCTCCTTGAGCCGTAACCCTAAACCCTAAACCAAAAACCGTATCATCAAGCAGCGCAGGCCTGGCTCCAGGCGAGTCTCCGGATCTTGCGGACGCTGTAGAAAAGCCTCCACGACCTGCCGTCCACAGAGCAAAGGGTTTAGGGTTTAGGGTTTAGGGTTTGGGGTTTAGGGTTTAGGGTTTAGGGTTTAGGGTTTAGGGTTTAGGGTTTAGGGCAAACAGTGTCCTTTAAGGGAAGTCGCTATGCCATGGTCTTGCAAGGGTTTGGGAATGGGAAGTTCTCGAAATCCCGTTTGTGGCCCTTTTTGTAAGGGTGCGGTACTCGGGGGACCTTGAAGGGACCCTAATTAAATTAGGACTTAAAAGCAAAACCGCAAGCCATGATGGCTCATTAACACCACAACCTTTACAAGGAACTCTTAGAAGAAACCCTGTAAAACTTTTCACAAAACCCACAGAGCCCCTACGAGAGCCTATCCACACCCCATCCAAAACATGTCAAGCTCATAGAACCAAAAACCGTGAACCCTAAGATCGAAGTTCCTAAACCCTAAACCCTGTCAAGCTCATAGAACCTGAAACCTTGAACCCTAAAACCCTAAACCCTAAACTCTAAATCCCTAAACCCTAAACCCCTAAACCCCTAAACCCTGGCCTTTGCATCGTTGTTCTCCACCGCCGTCTTGAACCTAAGCAGCTGCCCTTCCTGACACCCATGCCATGATAGACAAACATGGGGTTTTAGGGCTGAGGGGCTTTGGGGCTTTGGGGCTGAGAGGCTTCGGGGTGTAGGGGTTGCGGGTTGAGGGCTTAGGGTTTAGGGTTTGAGGGTTGAGGGGTTTAGGGTTTAGGGTTTAGGGAAGTTCTGTTGAAAGGTTCTTATACGAATTCGTAAGGTTTTAGCGCATTATAGACAAGCATGGATACAGAAGTTGTTGAGAGATTCTAGGGTTAAGTTAGGGTTGACGGTCTCGGATTCAACATGTGGCCACATTAGCGGTACTGGAGTTTTGGGGCCTCTTCTTCAGTGGAGCGTCTGTTCCATTGAACAGTTGCGTGCGTCATAATACCTGCAACACACCCTGCACCTAAACCTGACCCCTAAACCCTAAACCCTAAATCCTAGAACCCAAGACACCCCCAAAGATAAACGGCCAAGGGTCTAGGCTTCAGGGATGAGAGGTTAGTGAAAACAGCATTTATTCCTTCAGCCGCTAAAACCTAAACAAACCAACCCCAACAAAAGACATAACAAACACCCTAACATCATAAACAACTGCCACCCGGGAAACCAAAAGTGTAACTAGCAACAAAACGAGTCACCAAAGCCCCACCCTCATAAAACCGTTTTGGAACCCTGAAAGAAGTCCTTAAAGGACTCCTAAGCCCTAAAAGCCCAAAACCCTTCTCCCTAAACCGTCAATCCTAAACCCACCCTAAACCCCAAACGTTCAAAGGAGCCCTGAAAGAAAATCCTAAAGATCCCTTAGAGGCACCCCCCCCCCCTAAACCCTAAACCCTAAAAAGGACTCTTACAAAGCACAGTCCTCCGGCTCAGCGAACGGCACGAGCACCAAAAGCAGCGACGAAGGCAGCGACAGGGGATCGGAGTCGTCCAGGACCTCTTTGCTGAAGGGCTCTTTAAGGGGTTTAGGGGTTTTAGGGTTTAGGCGTTAAGGGTTTAGGGTTTATAAACTTTATAAACCGTAAACCCTAAACCCGCTCTTTAAAGGATTCCGTTCAGTGGTTAGGGATTGTAGGGCTTATCGGTTTAATTAGGGTTCTCGGCTTTTGGGTTTAGGGATAGTGTTCCTTTCAGGGTTCCTTCAAGGGTTCCCTGAAGGGCTTAGGGTTTTAGAAGTAATGGCTTTTGGTTGAGGAATTTGTTGGGGTTCAGGGAGCGCTTCTAGCGCTTAGGTTCTTTCAAATTTTCTGTAAGGGATCCTTCAAAGGTTCTGTAAGATAGCAGTCTGAAGGGTTTAGGGTATAGGGTTTAGGGGTTTAGGGTTTAGGGTGTAAGGTTTAGGGTGTAGGGTTTTGGGTTTGGGGTTTAGGTCAGGGTACTCGTTCGGGAACACTTTGCTGGGCAGTGTTTACAGGGCGTTTGCAGGTGCTATACGGCTGCATGGGGCTTGCCTGGTATTGCCAAACTAGGGAAAGCTGCTTCGTTGCTAAGATCCCCATAGTTGCAATTTAAACTTTCAGGATTTTAGGCCCTAACCTTAAACCCTAAACCCTAAACCCTAAACCCTAAACCCTAATAAGCCCGCGGCGCTTAAATGCTTGAGGAACTCAAGGGCTTAGAGGTGATCTTGCTTTTCCAGCTCCGCTTCGAACTACGGGATGCACCCTGACAGTTAGACCCTAACTATCGTCTCCATTGTAGTTCCTTTCTTTAACATGGTTTAGCCAATTCTATATTAAGGATCCTAAAAGGTAACCCAAAAAAGGAGAACTGCAATGGAGACTCTAGGTAAACGCTAAGCCGGGGCAATCCGTTGAGGAGCTTACTATGTCGAGAAGTCAGCGTCGAAGGTTCTCTGCTCGACCACTGAGTCTAGGCTTCAAGGGCGTTTAAGGGCCTAAACCCTTAACCCCAAGCCCAACAACCGCAAATCCTAATCGTAAATCGCAGCAAAGTGAATGTAGAACTCAGCTTATTGGTTGTTACCCTTCCTTCTCAAATTACTCAGCGGACTGGAAAAGAGTTGGCACCTAAACCCTAAACTTAAACCGTAAGCGCTTAGCAGGTTCAAGGCTCAAGGTTTGAGTCTTAGAGCCACCCTACGGCGCATGCACGTTAGGCCCGATGCAGGCCAAGGCATAGCTCTCCATGGTTCAGATAATACCGTCTTGCATGTCGCCGCCTGTCGCCATCTGCTGCGACTTTCAATCGGAACCAGTGATACAGGCATACAGCGAGCACAGCTTCTCAGCTTTGTGGTTTTGGAAACTCAGGCAGGCTTCTTTTTTTGACGGTCGACTCCTGCGTCCGCGAACCGGAGTCCTGAAGGCGTGCCGGAAGGGATCCTGCGTGATCCCGGCATCTCTTTGGCAGCCATGCGCCAGTGAGGACTCGCTGTACTTTGGGCTGCCCCAAACCCCGACCCTGAGCACCTGAACCCTAATAATCATACAGTACTATGCTACGGCTTAGTCAGAGGTTAGGGAGTATAGAGGGAATAAGCTTCAAACCTTTCCTTTCTATTTCAACCCCCCCGAAGCCCTAGCAGTTGGGACGCTGAACCTTCAACCCCACGACTCCTCCAGAAGCCCTCTATGCATTGTTGATTCTCAACTAAAGGGATTCCGGGCTCTCCATTCCTAAACCCAAAACCTTAAACAACAGCAAGCCCTGAACCCCACAGCCCTGCAGCCGCGAGTCTTGGGGGTGGCGGCGTTTTGGACACAAGGCTTAGGGTTTTGGGCTTAGGGTTTAGAGATTAGTAGGGCTTAGGGTTCAGCGCTTACAGGTATAGGAGTGATGTACTGTAGGTATAGGGTTAAGGCTTTGGAGGCTTCCAGGTTCTTCGTCTGAAGCCCTAAACCCTAAACCCCAAACCCCAAACCCCAAAACCAAAACCCAAAACCCCAAACCCAAA